AAAAAGGAAAAATTAAAAAAAAAAAAAAAAAATTAAAAGAAAATTAAACAAGAGGGAACGCTACAGTCGAGCAAGCCCGACAGTGTAATACCCTGTACCCAGGTAAACTTCCGTCACTGAGTTATATGCGCCCATAGCAGCAGCAAAAAGAGGAAGAAGAAGAGCGAACTTGTTGCTGCAGTTTGTGGGGGTTGTACTGGGGAGAATTTGTTTTGCTAATAACTTTTCTTAGAATTGACCAAATTGAATAAAATTTTATACAACAGTAGACAATTATATATTAATTATGTGTGCAAAGTTTGGTTTAGGTAGCATTTGAAATGTGGACGCTATTGACGAAATTCTGTAGCGGGGGAAGGGGGGGAAAATTAAAAACAAAAACATAAACTCGTCCTTACTCGGACCTAGGAGAAGCTGGATGCCAACTTTGGTTATTCTAGCTTTTATAGTTTCTGAGATCCTCGCGTTCATCCAGACGGACGGACAGACGGACGGACATGCCTAGATCGATTTCTCTCGTCATGCTGATCTAGAATATATATACTTTATGGGGTCGGAGATGCTTCCTTCTGTATGTTACATACTTTGCACAAACCTAATATACCCTTTTTACCCTACGGGTACAGGGTATAAAAAATGAATGAATTAATTAATTAAAATAATTAATTAAATTAAATTAGAATACATGTTTATGTTCAGATTAAACAGCATACATTTACATCACGTACCTATGCGTGTTTATATGCGTGTATGTATGCAGCACAAAGTTAAACCAAAGCAGCAACAACAACAACAGCTGCGGGCAGCGCTGCCGACAGAGGCAGCGCATGAGCAGCGATTTTACTTATGGCTATAACTTTCTTCAGAATTGACCTATCATGATGAAATTTAGCACACGGACACATTAGTACTAACTGGATGTACCTACCAAAATTGATTTTTAAATTCCGAGAATTACGGAAGTTATAAGAAAAAATACGAATTGCGGGGGAGTGGGGGGTGTATCAGAAAAAATAAACAAACTCGTTCTGCCTAGGGCTTATAGGAACCTTGATACCAATTTTGGTTATCCTAGCTCTTGTACTTACTGAGATCCTTGCGCTCATACAGACAGACGGACAGACGGTCAGACGGACATGGCTATATCGACTCGTCTTCTCATCCTGATCAAGAATATATATACTTTGTGGGGTCTGCCACACCTCCTTCTGTGTGTTACATACATGCGCACAAAACTAGTATAGCCTTTCACCCTTTGGGTACAGGCTATAATAACATTGTAAGAGCGAAATCTGAAAAAGAGGATTTATTGCTAAGGGAGATAGAGGTATTAAAACGAGAACAACAAGCCACAATGCGCGAAAACGAAATATTACAATTATTGATCAACAACAGTGCAGCATCATGCAAAAGCATTCCCTTTACACAACTCAAGGAATTAGTGTCTGAATTTGATCCAATGGGAGGTGACACAGACATTCAATTGTTCAAGCAGCAGATTTTTCCGGTACGATCTATGTATAATTTCGCCAACCGTCTCAAAGGCAAAGCCGTAAAATGGTTACAAATCCGAATCGATTTGATGACAATCCCAATCAACGAATTGCTCAATGAGATGGAAACTGTTTTTCAAAACAGAGAAAGTCTCCTATCACTTAAACGTAAGTTTGAAAAGAAGACCTGGCAACTTAATGAGTCTTTCCAAGAATATTTTTACGAAAAATTAAGATTATCAACTAAATTAAACGTCGACAAAATTGAGTTACTCGAGCATATAATTGATGGCATTCCAAACTATAATTTACGTACTCAAACCCGTATGCAACGTTTTAAAAATACAACGGAACTACTTGATGCTTTCAAAAGCATACAATTGAAACCAGATTACACACACAAGATGGATAACAAGTAGAATATCGAGCCTTTAGCCAACGCAAATAGTCGTGAAATGGTCGTCAAATGCTTCAACTGTAACTCCAAAGGACATATGGCCCCTGAATGTCGCAAGCCCAAAAGAACACCTGGAGCGTGTTTCGTTTGCAATGAAATGGGCCACATTTCAATAAACTGTAGCAAACGCAACGACTTGGAACTACGAGAAAATATGAAAACCAGCAACAAAGTATGTAAGACTTATAGAGTACTTATTTATCAACAATACTAATGACATCATTAAACACCCTTTAGAAACACTAATTGACACTGGAAGCCCTATCAGTTTAATATGTGAGGAGAAGGTACCCAAGAAACTTATTGAAGACTATTCTTTTGTTCAAAATTATTACGGAATAAATAAAAGTAAACTTATAATCATTGGAGTAATAAAATAAAGAGAATAAATAAAAGAGAATACGTTTGAACAAAATCTTTCCATTTGTCAAAACGAGGACACGGTTATATGCAACATACGCAAACAATTAGAAGAAAAAGAAAGCAATCTGTATGAAATGAGAAACGGACTAATTTTCCGCAAATTCAAAGGCAGAATACTATTTTATGTACCTAATAATATGGAACGAAACATTTTAACACTTTATCATGACCAAATGGGACACAGAGAGTGTGAAAAAGTATACAATGCAATAACAAAGTTCCCATAAAAACACAAAAAGGACAAAAAAGACATGTACTACTAGCATTGGATGCCTTTTCGAAGTTTGTTAAACTGTATGAAACAAAATCTACGGACTCTAAAAGTACAATTTAACATTTATCCGATTATTTCAAAGCATATAGCAGACCCAAGACTATAGTTTCTGACCGTGGAAGTGCATTCACTTCAAAGGATTTCGAAGAATTTTTATTGGCTAACAACGTAAAACACATAAAAGTAGCAACAGGTTCTCCACAAGCGAATGGACAAGTGGAACGTATAAATAAATGTTTAGGACCAATGTTGGCTAAATTAACAAGTGCTGGAACCACAAAATCATTAGATAATATACTTCCAGAAATAGAGTTTGCCTTAAACAACACTTTGCACAAAAGCACGGGCACCACCCCAAGTGAGTTATTATTCGGAGTAAGTCAAAGAGGAATTATCATAGACTTCTTAAAAGAACAGCTAGACGACAGAAAACAAAATAGAAATCTTATTGAAAGTAGGTCCAAGGCTAGAGAAATTATGGAAAAAAGTCAACAGTACAATGAACTATATAAAAACAAGATAGAACGCTACAGTCGAGCAAGCAAATAGCCTGTACTCTCCACAAAAAGGAAAAATTTAAAAAAAAAATTAAAAGAAAATTAAACAAGAGGGAACGCTACAGTCGAGCAAGCCCGACAGTGTAATACCCTGTACCCAGGTAAACTTCCGTCACTGAGTTATATGCGCCCATAGCAGCAGCAAAAAGAGGAAGAAGAAGAGCGAACTTGTTGCTGCAGTTTGTGGGGGTTGTACTGGGGAGAATTTGTTTTGCTAATAACTTTTCTTAGAATTGACCAAATTGAATAAAATTTTATACAACAGTAGACAATTATATATTAATTATGTGTGCAAAGTTTGGTTTAGGTAGCATTTGAAATGTGGACGCTATTGACGAAATTCTGTAGCGGGGGAAGGGGGGGAAAATTAAAAACAAAAACATAAACTCGTCCTTACTCGGACCTAGGAGAAGCTGGATGCCAACTTTGGTTATTCTAGCTTTTATAGTTTCTGAGATCCTCGCGTTCATCCAGACGGACGGACAGACGGACGGACATGTCTAGATCGATTTCTCTCGTCATGCTGATCTAGAATATATATACTTTATGGGGTCGGAGATGCTTCCTTCTGTATGTTACATACTTTGCACAAACCTAATATACCCTTTTTACCCTACGGGTACAGGGTATAAAAAATGAATGAATTAATTAATTAAAATAATTAATTAAATTAAATTAGAATACATGTTTATGTTCAGATTAAACAGCATACATTTACATCACGTACCTATGCGTGTTTATATGCGTGTATGTATGCAGCACAAAGTTAAACCAAAGCAGCAACAACAACAACAGCTGCGGGCAGCGCTGCCGACAGAGGCAGCGCATGAGCAGCGATTTTACTTATGGCTATAACTTTCTTCAGAATTGACCTATCATGATGAAATTTAGCACACGGACACATTAGTACTAATGGATGTACCTACCAAAATTGATTTTTAAATTCCGAGAATTACGGAAGTTATAAGAAAAAATACGAATTGCGGGGGAGTGGGGGGGTGTATCAGAAAAAATAAACAAACTCGTTCTGCCTAGGGCTTATAGGAACCTTGATCCCAATTTTGGTTATCCTAGCTCTTGTACTTACTGAGATCCTTGCGCTCATACAGACAGACGGACAGACGGTCAGACGGACATGGCTATATCGACTCGTCTTCTCATCCTGATCAAGAATATATATACTTTGTGGGGTCTGCCACACCTCCTTCTGTGTGTTACATACATGCGCACAAAACTAGTATAGCCTTTCACCCTTTGGGTACAGGCTATAATAACATTGTAAGAGCGAAATCTGAAAAAGAGGATTTATTGCTAAGGGAGATAGAGGTATTAAAACGAGAACAACAAGCCACAATGCGCGAAAACGAAATATTACAATTATTGATCAACAACAGTGCAGCATCATGCAAAAGCATTCCCTTTACACAACTCAAGGAATTAGTGTCTGAATTTGATCCAATGGGAGGTGACACAGACATTCAATTGTTCAAGCAGCAGATTTTTCCGGTACGATCTATGTATAATTTCGCCAACCGTCTCAAAGGCAAAGCCGTAAAATGGTTACAAATCCGAATAGATTTGATGACAATCCCAATCAACGAATTGCTCAATGAGATGGAAACTGTTTTTCAAAACAGAGAAAGTCTCCTATCACTTAAACGTAAGTTTGAAAAGAAGACCTGGCAACTTAATGAGTCTTTCCAAGAATATTTTTACGAAAAATTAAGATTATCAACTAAATTAAACGTCGACAAAATTGAGTTACTCGAGCATATAATTGATGGCATTCCAAACTATAATCTACGTACTCAAACCCGTATGCAACGTTTTAAAAATACAACGGAACTACTTGATGCTTTCAAAAGCATACAATTGAAACCAGATTACACACACAAGATGGATAACAAGTAGAATATCGAGCCTTTAGCCAACGCAAATAGTCGAGAAATGGTCGTCAAATGCTTCAACTGTAACTCCAAAGGACATATGGCCCCTGAATGTCGCAAGCCCAAAAGAACACCTGGAGCGTGTTTCGTTTGCAATGAAATGGGCCACATTTCAATAAACTGTAGCAAACGCAACGACTTGGAACTACGAGAAAATATGAAAACCAGCAACAAAGTATGTAAGACTTATAGAGTACTTATTTATCAACAATACTAATGACATCATTAAACACCCTTTAGAAACACTAATTGACACTGGAAGCCCTATCAGTTTAATATGTGAGGAGAAGGTACCCAAGAAACTTATTGAAGACTATTCTTTTGTTCAAAATTATTACGGAATAAATAAAAGTAAACTTATAATCATTGGAGTAATAAAATAAAGAGAATAAATAAAAGAGAATACGTTTGAACAAAATCTTTCCATTTGTCAAAACGAGGACACGGTTATATGCAACATACGCAAACAATTAGAAGAAAAAGAAAGCAATCTGTATGAAATGAGAAACGGACTAATTTTCCGCAAATTCAAAGGCAGAATACTATTTTATGTACCTAATAATATGGAACGAAACATTTTAACACTTTATCATGACCAAATGGGACACAGAGAGTGTGAAAAAGTATACAATGCAATAACAAAGTTCCCATAAAAACACAAAAAGGACAAAAAAGACATGTACAACTAGCAGTGGATGCCTTTTCGAAGTTTGTTAAACTGTATGAAACAAAATCTACGGACTCTAAAAGTACAATTTAACATTTATCCGATTATTTCAAAGCATATAGCAGACCCAAGACTATAGTTTCTGACCGTGGAAGTGCATTCACTTCAAAGGATTTCGAAGAATTTTTATTGGCTAACAACGTAAAACACATAAAAGTAGCAACAGGTTCTCCACAAGCGAATGGACAAGTGGAACGTATAAATAAATGTTTAGGACCAATGTTGGCTAAATTAACAAGTGCTGGAACCACAAAATCATTAGATAATATACTTCCAGAAATAGAGTTTGCCTTAAACAACACTTTGCACAAAAGCACGGGCACCACCCCAAGTGAGTTATTATTCGGAGTAAGTCAAAGAGGAATTATCATAGACTTCTTAAAAGAACAGCTAGACGACAGAAAACAAAATAGAAATCTTATTGAAAGTAGGTCCAAGGCTAGAGAAATTATGGAAAAAAGTCAAAAGTACAATGAACTATATAAAAACAAGATAGAACGCTACAGTCGAGCAAGCCCGACAGTAAAATAGCCTGTACTCTCCACAAAAAGGAAAAATTTAAAAAAAAAAAAATTAAAAGAAAATTAAAAAAATGAATGAATTAATTAATTAAAATAATTAATTAAATTAAATTAGAATACATGTTTATGTTCAGATTAAACAGCATACATTTACATCACGTACCTATGCGTGTTTATATGCGTGTATGTATGCAGCACAGAGTTAAACCAAAGCAGCAACAACAACAACAGCTGCGGGCAGCGCTGCCGACAGAGGCAGCGCATGAGCAGCGATTTTACTTATGGCTATAACTTTCTTCAGAATTGACCTATCATGATGAAATTTAGCACACGGACACATTAGTACTAACTGGATGTACCTACCAAAATTGATTTTTAAATTCCGAGAATTACGGAAGTTATAAGAAAAAATACGAATTGAGGGGGGGGGGGGGGGGGTGTATCAGAAAAAATAAACAAACTCGTTCTGCCTAGGGGTTATAGGAACCATGATACCAATTTTGGTTATCCTAGCTCTTGTACTTACTGAGATCCTTGCGCTCATACAGACAGACGGACAGACGGTCAGACGGACATGGCTATATCGACTCGTCTTCTCATCCTGATCAAGAATATATATACTTTGTGGGGTCTGCCACACCTCCTTCTGTGTGTTACATACATGCGCACAAAACTAGTATAGCCTTTCACCCTTTGGGTACAGGCTATAATAACATTGTAAGAGCGAAATCTGAAAAAGAGGATTTATTGCTAAGGGAGATAGAGGTATTAAAACGAGAACAACAAGCCACAATGCGCGAAAACGAAATATTACAATTATTGATCAACAACAGTGCAGCATCATGCAAAAGCATTCCCTTTACTCAACTCAAGGAATTAGTGTCTGAATTTGATCCAATGGGAGGTGACACAGACATTCAATTGTTCAAGCAGCAGATTTTTCCGGTACGATCTATGTATAATTTGGACGAAAACAACGTACGTGCACTCATCGCCAACCGTCTCAAAGGCAAAGCCGTAAAATGGTTACAAATCCGAATCGAAACAACGTACGTGCACTCATCGCCAACCGTCTCAAAGGCAAAGCCGTAAAATGGTTACAAATCCGAATCGATTTGATGACAATCCCAATCAACGAATTGCTCAATGAGATGGAAACTGTTTTTCAAAACAGAGAAAGTCTCCTATCACTTAAACGTAAGTTTGAAAAGAAGACCTGGCAACTTAATGAGTCTTTCCAAGAATATTTTTACGAAAAATTAAGATTATCAACTAAATTAAACGTCGACAAAATTGAGTTACTCGAGCATATAATTGATGGCATTCCAAACTATAATTTACGTACTCAAACCCGTATGCAACGTTTTAAAAATACAACGGAACTACTTGATGCTTTCAAAAGCATACAATTGAAACCAGATTACACACACAAGATGGATAACAAGTAGAATATCGAGCCTTTAGCCAACGCAAATAGTCGTGAAATGGTCGTCAAATGCTTCAACTGTAACTCCAAAGGACATATGGCCCCTGAATGTCGCAAGCCCAAAAGAACACCTGGAGCGTGTTTCGTTTGCAATGAAATGGGCCACATTTCAATAAACTGTAGCAAACGCAACGACTTGGAACTACGAGAAAATATGAAAACCAGCAACAAAGTATGTAAGACTTATAGAGTACTTATTTATCAACAATACTAATGACATCATTAAACACCCTTTAGAAACACTAATTGACACTGGAAGCCCTATCAGTTTAATATGTGAGGAGAAGGTACCCAAGAAACTTATTGAAGACTATTCTTTTGTTCAAAATTATTACGGAATAAATAAAAGTAAACTTATAATCATTGGAGTAATAAAATAAAGAGAATAAATAAAAGAGAATACGTTTGAACAAAATCTTTCCATTTGTCAAAACGAGGACACGGTTATATGCAACATACGCAAACAATTAGAAGAAAAAGAAAGCAATCTGTATGAAATGAGAAACGGACTAATTTTCCGCAAATTCAAAGGCAGAATACTATTTTATGTACCTAATAATATGGAACGAAACATTTTAACACTTTATCATGACCAAATGGGACACAGAGAGTGTGAAAAAGTATACAATGCAATAACAAAGTTCCCATAAAAACACAAAAAGGACAAAAAAGACATGTACTACTAGCAGTGGATGCCTTTTCGAAGTTTGTTAAACTGTATGAAACAAAATCTACGGACTCTAAAAGTACAATTTAACATTTATCCGATTATTTCAAAGCATATAGCAGACCCAAGACTATAGTTTCTGACCGTGGAAGTGCATTCACTTCAAAGGATTTCGAAGAATTTTTATTGGCTAACAACGTAAACCACATAAAAGTAGCAACAGGTTCTCCACAAGCGAATGGACAAGTGGAACGTATAAATAAATGTTTAGGACCAATGTTGGCTAAATTAACAAGTGCTGGAACCACAAAATCATTAGATAATATACTTCCAGAAATAGAGTTTGCCTTAAACAACACTTTGCACAAAAGCACGGGCACCACCCCAAGTGAGTTATTATTCGGAGTAAGTCAAAGAGGAATTATCATAGACTTCTTAAAAGAACAGCTAGACGACAGAAAACAAAATAGAAATCTTATTGAAAGTAGGTCCAAGGCTAGAGAAATTATGGAAAAAAGTCAAAAGTACAATGAACTATATAAAAACAAGATAGAACGCTACAGTCGAGCAAGCCCGACAGTAAAATAGCCTGTACTCTCAACAAAAAAGAAAAATTAAAAAAAAAAAAATTAAAAAAAAAAAAATTAAATTATTAAAAAAAAATGAATGAATGAATTAATTAATTAAATTAAATGAGAATACATGTTTATGTTCAGTTTTAACAGCATACATTTACATCACGTACCTATGCGTGTTTATATGCGTGTATGTATGCAGCACAAAGTTGAACCAAAGCAGCAACAACAACAACAGCTGCGGGCAGCGCTGCCGACAGAGGCAGCGCATGAGCAGCGATTTTACTTATGGCTATAACTTTCTTCAGAATTGACCTATCACGATGAAATTTAGCACACGGACACATTAGTACTAACTGGATGTACCTACCAAAATTGATTTTTAAATTCCGAGAATTACGGAAGTTATAAGAAAAAATACGAATTGCGGGGGAGTGGGGGGGTGTATCAGAAAAAATAAACAAACTCGTTCTGCCTAGGGGTTATAGGAACCATGATACCAATTTTGGTTATCCTAGCTCTTGTACTTACTGAGATCCTTGCGCTCATACAGACAGACGGACAGACGGTCAGACGGACATGGCTATATCGACTCGTCTTCTCATCCTGATCAAGAATATATATACTTTGTGGGGTCTGCCACGCCTCCTTCTGTGTGTTACATACATGCGCACAAAACTAGTATAGCCTTTCACCCTTTGGGTACAGGCTATAATAACATTGTAAGAGCGAAATCTGAAAAAGAGGATTTATTGCTAAGGGAGATAGAGGTATTAAAACGAGAACAACAAGCCACAATGCGCGAAAACGAAATATTACAATTATTGATCAACAACAGTGCAGCATCATGCAAAAGCATTCCCTTTACACAACTCAAGGAATTAGTGTCTGAATTTGATCCAATGGGAGGTGACACAGACATTCAATTGTTCAAGCAGCAGATTTTTCCGGTACGATCTATGTATAATTTGGACGAAAACAACGTACGTGCACTCATCGCCAACCGTCTCAAAGGCAAAGCCGTAAAATGGTTACAAATCCGAATCGATTTGATGACAATCCCAATCAACGAATTGCTCAATGAGATGGAAACTGTTTTTCAAAACAGAGAAAGTCTCCTATCACTTAAACGTAAGTTTGAAAAGAAGACCTGGCAACTTAATGAGTCTTTCCAAGAATATTTTTACGAAAAATTAAGATTATCAACTAAATTAAACGTCGACAAAATTGAGTTACTCGAGCATATAATTGATGGCATTCCAAACTATAATCTACGTACTCAAACCCGTATGCAACGTTTTAAAAATACAACGGAACTACTTGATGCTTTCAAAAGCATACAATTGAAACCAGATTACACACACAAGATGGATAACAAGTAGAATATCGAGCCTTTAGCCAACGCAAATAGTCGAGAAATGGTCGTC